CATCTGTAGTAATTTACAGGTCCAGCTACACTCTTAATTTTGAGCTATTCTGATTCTTAAGATTGAGCTATTCTGGTTAAATTACCTTAATTAATGTACACAATGTAATTCCAGTTCAATGGTCTTCTGTATATATCTTAAGTACTTACAAACATGCTGCAGATCCTTTCTCCTAGTCCTTTCAGTGACAGAATTGCTGCTTCTCTTCTTTCTTAATTCTTTCCCCATGCAGTTTCTCATTATAATCTACAGTCTAACCCTGCTTTATTTATTATTTGCACTGCAATAATGCCTGCAGGCGTCAATGAAAATAGGATCCACTGACCAACAAATTGTGTGTATCTATAGGAATATGCACAGAGAAGTATATCTCACATATCTCACTCAAGAATAAAGGCAGAAAAGGATACTATTCACATCCTTTTTTTTTCTATTAGTCTATCAAGACACATCTAGATTAAGCTATTTGCTCAAGGACACACAGTAGGTTGAGGTAGATCCAGCAATCAAATGCATCTTGCAACTCTTATCTCAGATATATTGCCCACAGATACATTAGCTGCCCGTCCTGCTGCACTTACTTTGGTGCTATATTTAGTAGAGCTGCACCCAGATAAAGTGCCACAGCAGAGAAGGGGATTGGGTCCATTCGTATGAGAGAAGAGCTAATAACTGTAGAAAAATTCAGTCAAATAACCCCTGCAGTGAGAAATAAGTGAGACTCTACCCATCTGCAGCCATAAAAAGGTAACTTAGCCAGCACAAAACCCTGACCAAATCCTTTCACATAATTGCAATCTGACATCTACCTTCTATTTTCAACGAGACAACAAATTATTTACTTCCTATCCAAAACAACCTCCCAGTGACAAATTGCACCAGTGCTGCATAGCTCCTACTCACTAGTTTTAATTAATTTAGGCTTGCAAGGCTCTCCTGAGCTCTCCTCTCCTCCGTCGTGCTGAAGCAGAACATCCCGAGCCAGGAGTTGATGGAGATGCTGGTTTAGCAGCAGATCCAGAGTGGTTGTCCCCGCTGCCCGTGGGCCAGTCCATCCATCTGGGCAGCTTTCTGGCTGCCACAGGGATGAGGATTTGTTCTAGCACTATCACCCAGTCAGTCTGTCAGCATTTGGCAGGGCTTTTCTGCACGTCAGGAGTTCCCCTCGGTGAACAGCATGCTGCTCTCCTGTGCACACGTTTCTGGGCTGCCTCAAAATGCCAACTACAAAAAAAAAAACTAATCAAATTATATCTAGTTGCAATCAGCCTGAATTTACTATACAGAAATTTGTGGCTTTGCGAAAATCCATTGATATTTTAGATCTGCAGATCGCTACAAATCCTTCTCCTTTCTTGTGCAATACCATGTATTTCACTATTCCTTTTTTTTCCTCTAAAATACTGATTAGACTTCTCTCCACATAATAGAAATCCATCCTCCATCTGCAGGCAGTTTACCATGGCCTTGATTCATGGACAACAGTGTGAGCCTGCCTACCCTACCTGAACGCAGATATCTTTGCTAATATGCTCCCATATTTCTTTGAGGCTTTGGTGCACACAAATCCTAGCAGCCTCATCTCCTCCTTTACATTTTTGCTGTCGGGAACTGTGACATCAAATGAGAGAGTTTTGGCCAGATGTCAAGGCAATCTGTGCAATAAAACCAAATGAAGCCCAAAGCCCTAACATTTAACTGTCTGTATTTCTCTGGACAGACTCTTCCTCCCAGGCCAGTTTCTTCACTCTAGCCATCAGATACAGACTTATCTATAATATGCATTAATATCATTTTCTAAAAAAGCACCTCAAAACCTTTGATATTATATCCTTATATAAGACCAGACATCTGTGGATGCAGAAACCAAGACACAAGGATGTTAATCTCCATACTCTGCTGTCTCAAAAAACAAGGGCAAAGAAAGGCATGTGAAGAGGAGCTGCTCTAACCCTTAGACCATCAGAGACAAACTGTGGATTTAGGACTAATACCAGCCCCAGCCACAAACCCAATGAACCATCCCAGTTCCTTTTTAATGTCTTTAACATGTTTGGCATGAAATGATCAAAAGTGACGTCCTGCCTGCACTCGACAGGGTCTTGCGGGATGGTCTCCTCCTCGTGCCCCCCAGACCAGCACATCTTCCTTTCATTCCTCAGCAATGTTCTGCTTTTCTGCTTAGCCACAGATCCCTGCCAGCCCTGTGCTATGCTACTGCCCCCAGGGGTGATACTGGGAGTGCCTGGATCTCACTCTGACCTTCAGACCGATGTCCTTTCCATTATCATCCCCTGAGACCATAAATATGTCTATGCCGGAAGGCTTGTTGTTTTCTTGTATATATTTATAGGATAGACATCGCTCCTCTTTCCTCTGATTTTTGTCTGCTTTTATCTGCCTATAGAAACACAAACCCTGGATAAAGCTCAATCAAAACCCATGTCCTCTCTACCAAAGTCTACCAGACCAAGAGCTGACACTGGCTGGGAATCATCAGATGCTGCCTAATGGATCGGAGTCATGGACATCTCCTGTGTTTTGACAGACCAGTGGGGAACACCACTCATGTTCCCTTCATATCAATTTCCCTTCATCTCACACATATTTGGCTTTGCAAAAGCCGACACAGAAATCAAGAAGGCAAACAGACCGTTGTGAACTTTACTGACTATATCACAAAATGCCCAAAGTATTTTGACCCCCACCCCTTCCCAGGTGAAAATCCAGCCCCTTGCCATGGCCCTTTTGCCTTAGGCACTAAGTTCCCAACGTTTGGGGGGAATCTTTCAAAAGTGGCAGATATTTGAAATGCCAACCCCTGCTTTTATTTTTCAGCAGTAGCTCCCAGGTCCAAGTCAGGGCAAATTTAACCTGAACAGATTTGGATCCAGACTCTTTTGAACCCCAATATCCAAGCATCTCCTACCTCCCAACCCCTTAGTATCCTGATCTCCCAAATATCCTGATCCCCGAGCATTTCTGCATCCCAACCTGAAAGCATCCCTTCCTCAAGCATCTTTCCTGTCTTCCAACCCACAAGCATCCTTCCTAGATCCCGATCCCAGAGCATGCTGATCTGCAAGGATCCTTTGCACATCCCAAACTTGAGCATCCCTCCTGCATCCCAAGCCCCAAGTATCCATTCCTTGTTGTTGATTCCCCCCAACAAGCCTTCCACCTGCATCCTGATCCCTGAGCATCCCTTAACCAAGCCCCCTCCTGCATCTCAACTTCAGACATCCCTGCTCCATTCCAATACTCTCCTAGATCCTGATCCCTGAGCACCCTGACCCCCATGTATCCCTCCTGCATCCCTCCCTGCAAGTGCCCTGTTTGGATCACAGCCCCTGAGCATCCCTCCCACATTCCCCTCCCCAAGCATCCCAAATCCTGACCATCCTTCTTGCATCCTTTCCTGTAAACAACCTGCCTCCATCCTGATCCCTGAGCATCCATCTCCTAGATCCTGATCCCCAATCTCCAAGCATCCCTCCTTGCAAGTGTCCTGTCTGCATCCCATCCCTGAGCATCCTGACCTCCAAGCATCCTCCTGCAACCTATCCTGCAGACATCCTGCCTGCATCCTGATCCCCAAGCATCACTCCTGCATCCAAATCCCTGAGCACCCCTCCTAGATCCTGATCTTGGAGCACCCTGACGCCGGAGCATCCCTCCCTGCAAGCATCCTGCCTGCATCCCAGCCCTGAGCAGCCCTCCTGCATCCCCCTCCTTGAGCACCCTGACCCCCAAGCATCCCTCCTACATCCAGATCTCTAGGCACTCCTCCTAGATCCTGATCCCTGAGCATCCCGACCCCTGAGAGTTCTTCCCGCATCATTCCCTGCAAATGTCCTGCCTGCATGCCAGCCCCCAAGCATCCCTCCTGCATCCCTATCCCTGAGCATCCTGATCCCCGGGCACCCTTCCCGCAACCTTCCCTGCAAACGTCCTGCCCACATCCTGCCCCCCAAATATCCCTCCTGTATCCAAATATCCCTCCTGTATCCAGCCCCCTGAGCACCCCTCCTAGGTCGTGATTCCCGAGCATCTCGACCTGGGAGCATCCCGACCCGGGAGCATCCCTCCCTGCAAGCACCCTGCCTGCATCCTAGCCCCACGCATCCCTCCCGCATCCCCATCCCGAACATCCCTCCCGCATTCCCACGCGGAGCATCCTTTTCCCGGAGCCCGCGGCCGCTCCGTTACCTCCCGCCGCAGGCCCCGCCGCGCCGCCTTAAGCGCCGCTTCCAGGGCAGTTTGAAGGCGGCTTGGAGGCAGCTGGAAGGCGGCGGCTCCCGGGGCCGCCTGGGAGCTGCAGTCCGGCGGGCCGGGCCGGCACCGGGGCCGCGCGGCGCCGAACTACAAGTCCCGGGCGGCCGCGTGGCGCCGCCCGCCCTTCCCTTCCCTTCCCTTCCTTTCCCGTCCCTTCCCGTGCCCGTGGCGCGGCCCACGCGCCTCCCTCGCGGCGCCGCGGGGCTCAGGTGCGTGATGCGGGCGGGCGCGGAATGGCCGCGCGCCGGGGGAAACTGAGGCACGGAGGGCGGCCGCGAGCGGCGGGGGTGGCCAGGGAGAGGAAGGGATGAGTCCCCCGCTGCCTGGATGAATTCCAGGTGTGGAAGCAAAGCCTCAGGCCTCCGGTGAGGGATGGGTTGTGCTCGGCGCACGGGCTCTGCTTGGCTTCATCTGACTGAGGATTAACCTGGCCTCAGCGAACGGGAGGGAATCGCCTCTGGATTTAGGGAATGCAGGAGCTGAAGTGCCCTCCCAAAGTGTCACCTGCCTCTCTGCAGGGGTCCAGGACCTTGATTTGCCTCTCCCAATAATACAAGTTGGTTGGGATCGGTTCCTGCCCCGCAGCTGTGGGGAGACCTGGAATTTCCCCTGTGTAGTTAGTGGAGTGTAATAAGAACGGAGTGCAGGGAAACCATAGTGCAAATGTTTAATCTTCTAGACCTAGGGATCAACTTAGGTTAGAAAGTGTGGATCGGCTGTGCACTAAGCGGGGTTTAACCTTGTTGCTACAGGTTTTGTCCCAAACCCTATCCCTGAGCCCTGACTTGCTGGCTCTGGCTTTGGTAAGTGGTGAACTGAGGGGTTTACATTTCTAAAAACCATTTACTTTGTTTCTGCTTGTGTCCTGTGGTGCTTTTATTAATTTTGTCTCCTGTACCTGTCACGGCCTTGGTGACTTCAGACTGCCCAGGGTGCCTTAGGGACCAAGGCACAAATTCGTAGCAGAGGGTCTTGACTTCTCTTGAGAAAACACCTTGAAAAGGAATAAGACACGGAATTAGTCTACAGGTGAAGTCAGGGTGAGTTCCAGGGGCTCGTACCACTGCACGTGTCCAGACTACAGCGTCGCAACTTATACATGTTTTTATTAGGACTTCGATATTTTGTGAAAACTGGATTTCTTAACTTCAAAACGAAGCATCCCCTTTTAGTAAGATGCAAAATCAACCTGTTCCCTACCAATGCACAATTATTTCCTGTAACACATTACCTGATCAGCCTCTTTTTTAATTCGACCGATAAGACTCTTACCAGTTCTCTTGGACAGTGCTCAAAAGCCAGATAGATTTTAGCCTGACTTCTTCCTGATGCTTATCACAAAAACGCCCTGTCTTGCTTTAATTTTATTGCCACTTAGGCCATTCTTCCTTGTGGCAGCCTAAATTATGCATCTCTTATTTTGCTATGTAGATACTTTGCAGTCCGGGGTTACTTCTCGACTATTACTTAGCTAAGCTGACCCTCTTAAATAGTTCACACAGTTTTTGTGGAGGGATGTTTTATGGATGTGACGTTGAAGGGTACAGTGCAAAATTATTCTGTAAAGTTAAATCTGTGCTTATAATCAATCACTGCTGCTTTAGTTTCTGTGTTTTTACTTTCGTTTTTGTCACTTTGTCAACTTTAACCTGAACAAGCAAGCAGAAAGCTTTTTTTTTTTTCTCCCTGTGTTTATATAATATATTTACATATGTATGTTTTCTGAAGAACCCTCTTTCTTTGGAAACCATAAATACATGTGTGTAGCTTGCAGACTTCCCATCAAGCTGCGTTTTTGACTAGGAAGCACTAAAACTGTAGGCTTTGCCCCTTGGTTAAATATTTAGCAATATTTATCATGTTTCATTACATTGTGCTTGGGTTAGCAAATGAATGATGCGTTTTTAAATGTTTATTTGTATACTGGTATTTTTTCCCTAAGCTAGGCAGAAATTCAGGTAATTTATGTAGACAGAATTTTATTGACCAGCTTATTAGAGTTCTCTTAAATGTGATGAATAATTAAGAGGGGAAATAAAGCTTATCCAAAGATAATCAACACTTACAATTATTAAACAAAGGAAGCGTTATCTATAATGAAGGAAATGAGGTCATAATTATAAACACAAAGAACTGGAGTAAGTGAAAACAGGTAGATTTTTGTTATCACAGTTTCATGCCTTTCTGTTATCGCATTATTATTTCCCATAATTTTAAATGTATTTTTAAAAATACATATTTAAATATAAGTCACTTTAAGAGTGCCTAGTATATCCCATGCTCTTCAGTTGCATTTGCGTCTTAGGCTCTCAGTTAGATCTCTAGCTGCTCTAATTTGAATGAATTTCAAGCAGAACTTAGGGAGCAGCGACACAAAATGCAGTGCTGCAATTTCCTGCTTCCCGGGGCCGTAGCCCAGTTTGTACTTGGTTTTACTGCTTCGACTGCAAGTTAGAGCCACCCGTGGCCAAGATCAGATGCTGCTTTACGCTGTTTTTGTGTAAATGCCACTAAACTGAAGTTACCCCTTGCACTGCATTCTTGGAAAGTCTTTGTTGTGTTAAGGAAGTACCTGGTTGTGATGCTCTAGGGTAGGGGCTGCAAATGCTTGTTTTTTAAGAGCAAAATGGGCAATTCTTTTAATCTGCCCTTGAGGTAACGTTTATAAGGAGAAAAGAATCAAATAAGTTGGTTGCTAAATGCATTAAGTCCAATTAGTAATGTATCCAGCGTAAATACCCAGCCCATCTTTGCTGGGTTTTAGTGCTTTTAAAAGTTGCCAGACTGTTGGACCTCTCTCATTTGTACAGTGCTGCCAAGGTAAAAAACTCTTAATGAGCAAGATGAGTTAATGAATTAATCTACTAGACATTACCTTTTATTTAGAAGAGCTCTCATTACTCTCATTACTGCCTTATTTTGTTGGTAGCCTCCCTGTTAAGGCCACTGATAGAAAATCCAGTTGGGAGATTTTTCTTTTTAACATTTTTCCATTCAGATTGGACTGGAGCAGCTGTTTCTCATTCAACATGCACAGCCAGCAAGTTCATAAATCAGAATAAACTTTGGGTGGATGTTGACTTTGAAATGAAAGTCTCTATCTTGTCACTGAACATTTGAAGCATCCAGTGGTGTTTAGGACATCTCTCTTGACAAGGGGCTTTGCTGAGTGAAGGCTGCCCCGTACAAACTGAGGGAAACATGTCATTCCTTGCAGCTGGATGGCAAAGGACATGAGAAAAATACTCCTTTAGCTTTAAATGGCCTACACATGCTGTAGGTGTGCCTGCTTGAGCAGGAAGGTTGGACTAGATGATCTCTAGAGGTCCCTTCCAACCTTAAATATTCTGTGATTCTGTAAAAGTGATCAGGGATCTGAAAACATGACTAGTTGAACTAGATGATCTCTAGAGATCCCTTCCAACCTTGAATATTCTGTGATGACTATGAGGACAGAACAGAGGAATTTGGGTCGTTCAGAGCAGACTGAGTGGTAGCAGCAGAGGACAGTAATGAATGTGGCTTTGGGTGACACTGTCAGTCCTAGTTTTACAATCTGTATTATTTGTGGTGTGATTTGGGGAAAAGAAATGGATTTCTTTAAAAGTAATTTCTTTATTAGATTTAGAGATTTCTTTAAATGAAATCCATTTGGGGCTGCTTTTGTGAACATTGGATTGTATTTGTATTATTTCTTTTACAGATGTGTTACAAGCTCTTAGGGGGAAAAAATACATGGCAGCCACTTTACTACAGAATTAGACCATGTCAAGCCTGTGTTCAGTCTGCTTAAAATAGCTTTTTACTCTATAAATTGGGTAGAAGCCTTCAAGGAGAAGAAATATCCTGAGTGGAAATATGAGAAATATGTTCTATAGCACAGAGTGGAGCTTAACACTAAAGTAATTATATTCCTTATTTTCTTCCCAGGATGTATTCCCAGGATGTTAGTGGCAAGAATGTTCTTCTGCTGAGATGGGGCATATTTTAATGTATATATATGTATTATTCTGGCTTCACCAGCCATCGAAAAATTGATCTTGCAGTACAAGACCATGCTGTCTCTATCTGTATTTTGGTGTGATTCCAGAGCTGATAATGGTCTCATAGTATCTAAGTTTATTCCATGACTAGTTATTGAAATGTCTGCACTTAAGTATATTCTTAAGGGAGCTGTTTGCCTGCTTTGTGTGGTTGTGACCATAGTTACTAGAAGCGCAACATCCTATCTCTGCAAGCAAAAACTGATAGGATTTCTGCTGGGTTTTATATATTCTTTTCAGCATCATCTGCAGGATTTGAATAGAAAAGCTGGAAGGGATGGATTGATGGATTTGGATTCAGCAAACACAGGGAAACAGATGGGAAACTGAGCAGAGAGCCTCAGCTTGGCTCCCAGGACCTTAGCACAGCTTTTTAGAGCTGATCTGAAATTAAGGGGAACATGGGTCCCTCCTCTTCCTTTGCAGCACTCCTGGCATTCATTTGGTTCTAAGCTGGTTCAAGGAGTTAAACTACTAGAAATATACTCAGAATAGTAACCGGGGGTTCCCTGGTCGTTTTGCTCCTTAACCTGAGCTCACTGTGGGATCAGAGAAGAACCAGACCTGATGTAAAGGAGAAGGAATGTATGGTGGAGGAGGAAGAGAGGTAGGTCCCTTGCAGAGATGGTTAGAATAATAATATCATAAAATTTCATCCTCAATTTATCTCGGCTGCCTGCAGAGTAGCTGCACAGATCAATGCCAACAGAAGATATGGCCCAAATTAATTAGAAAATGCTTGCTAAGGTAACATATATTGGAAGCAAAAAGCCTGGGGCATTTTTTGCTGAGTGAAACTGCAGACTGTGGGCACAGCTGCATTCCTGTGTGGTAGGATGACTGCAAATTTGTGTCATGGGACACCACGGCAAGAGCTTTGTCCTTTATCTTCAGAGGCCACAAAGATAGTGGGATGTGTCTGGTTCTTGCCCGTTCCTTTCCTCTAAATTCTGTGTTCATGAGGGATGCAGGATGCAAGGAACAACTCTTGCTTTGGAGACAGCACTAACATCAATGGGCAGATTTCACGTTTAGCGTAACTGTAAGGTTTTGGAAGACTCATGATTTCCAGCATTGGTTAACCCGAAATAGAGAAAGCTCTGTGGAAAGTCTGTTTGGAGTATGAAACAGAAAAACAAAAGAAACCTTTGCTTTCAAGATACAACCTCCAAAAGAATTTCCCAATTTCTATTTTCTTTAATGAGTTATTGTCATGCCATTACTATTATATTTAGTGGTTTTTTTTTCCCCTTTAGTTTAATCTTTTGAACAAGTAAATGCATCTGAACGTGTGGTGTTGGATTTCTTTTTTTTGTCTTCCTCTTCTTTGCTTTTTTATTTTAGAGTTAGGCCCAGGACCGTGACTTTTTCACCATGTCAGAACCTATCACACTCAATGTTGGAGGAAAACTCTACACCACCTCTCTGTCCACCCTGACTAGCTTTCCAGACTCCATGTTGGGAGCCATGTTTAGTGGGAAGATGCCAACCAAGAAGGACAGCCAAGGCAACTGCTTTATCGACAGAGATGGCAAGATCTTCCGCTATATCCTGAACTTCCTAAGAACTTCCCACTTGGACCTCCCTGAAGACTTTCAGGAGATGGGTTTACTCCGACGGGAGGTTGATTTTTATCAAATTCAGCCACTGATTGAGGCCTTGCAGGAGAAGGAGGTGGAGCTTTCTAAAGCTGAGAAGAATGCCATGCTCAACATCAGCCTTGATCAGAAGACGCAAACTGTCCACTTCACTGTTCGAGAAGCACCCCAGATCTACAGTCTCTCTTCCTCCAATATGGAAGTGTTCAGTGCTCATATCTTCTCCACATCATGTCTCTTCCTGAAGCTTCTAGGTTCCAAACTTTACTACTGCTTCAATGGAAACCTCTCTTCAATATCCAGCTACCTACAAGATCCCAACCATTTGACCCTAGATTGGGTTGCAAGTGTGGAAGGCCTCCCAGAAGAGGAGTACACGAGACAGAACTTGAAGAGACTCTGGGTGGTGCCTGATAACAAGCAAATCAATAGTTTCCAGGTGTTTGTGGAAGAAGTACTAAAAATAGCCATGGGCGATGGTTTCTGCATAGATTCTTCTCACCCGCATACATCAGATTTCATGAAAAATAAGATTATTCGCCTAATTCGGTACAAGTAATAACATCTGTTTATTAGGGTAACAGCATGGAGATAACTTAGGTTGTGTTTCCCTTTAAAACACAGTTACAGCCTAATTCAGAATCATGCTAATCTGGATTAAGAGTCACTAACAGGGCGATGATTTTCCTTTAATGTGTTTACCAATATGATCTGTCAGAATATGTCCATATTCTAAACAGAAGGAATACTGTCCAGTTCCTGGATTAAGGATTGATCCTGTCTCTGCCTCCGCCTCTGACCTGCTGTGTAATTGTGGGAGAAGTCACTTAACTTCCACCCTTCTTTTATTTTCCAACTGGAAAATGGGAACGATCCTTAGCCTAATGATACAAGGGTCATGTGGTGGTTCAGTAATCAAGTATCTGGAGATCACGGGAGCAGGGAAAAACGAAAGCTATGGAGCTACAAAACAGCGGACAGCCTGAGGAGCAGATTTTCCACTTCTTGCTTTGTCATCTGCCCCTGAGTGGAGTTTCATGGATCAGCAGAGAAGCTTCCCCACATGCACACACTCTTATTACAGCTGTAAAGGGTAGTGTAAACTGCAAATGAGTAGGGGGTTGTATCTGAATGGTTTAAATGAAGGATTTGTTCTGTCATCTGAAGCTGACCTGACTTTGCTTGTTTGCTTTCTGAACATTGTGAGGAAGCCCCTGCTCTGTTCTGCTCTCAAGGAAGTTGCGCTTCAAGGATGCAACTGTTCTTGTGAACAACCAACGAAGCAAAGAGAAGGATGCTCTAACAGATGAAGATTGTGGGTGGAGGTGAAATTTTACCTTGGATGCTCACAAAACTTTACATTCTGAAGGCATCAAAGGCGGTTAGTCCTTTTCTTTCTCTTACAATGATCTACTTGTCTGGAGGAGGATGCTGAAAATGTTTTCTGAGGTGGAGATGGACTCAGAGGGCAGAGGCCCCTCATATCTTCTGCACATTGGAGCCTGTTCTGCCTGGACCTGGCCTTTTGGGCGTGATTCCCTTCAGCAACGTCCAGAGTGTAGTGGATGGTCTGTAAGTAGAAGGGGTACCATCTGAAAAGACAACTTGTCTATAAGGTTTTCCCTAGTATTTTTCATTAGAAAAGCAGAGACCATTTTTCTCTGTACATTAAGCCATTTTTTTACATCGTTGTGAAATAGTTAGAAAAATAAGGATGCCTTTTACCCACTCGCTTGACTTTAGTGCAAGACTGACAGAGAGGCAAGGCAGGGGAAACAGGGGATGACAACAGTCAAGCCTCTTCCTCCAAGCTTGGTCTGTGCTATTACAACTGTACTCCACTAGCTGTGTGTTAGATCTAAGCTTAATTTCTGCCTACGTTCAAGATGTTTCATTCTCACTTTAAATTTCAAAGTATTTTAGCTGCCTTTGCTAATCAGATTGCTGTGTGCATGAGAGACCCGCTGCAACTTTTCTCATTACCCCTGTTGAGACAGACAGAAGAAAAAAATCCAACGGTCCAGAGGGCACCCAATGTCATATTTAGAATTTCATTGCTTCGGAAAGGTTGTTTTTGTTTGTTTTGTTCATGTTCTTGCTTTCTGAAGTGAGTCTGCTAAGTCTGAATGGAATGAAGAAGTACTTTGCTGTTATAGGCAAAAAAAGGGTGAGATGAACAAAGTTCTGCTATCCCAAGCTGTAATTGCATGAGCAACACAAACCAGCACGTGGATGGTAAAAATGCACATTCTGCAGCTACTAGCAGCCTGTTACAGACCACTTCTCCTGCCTGAACTGGAGTAAAACCAGTCCACTAGTGTGCTGCAAGTGGGACCTTTTCATTGGCAAAGACTGAGTAGGACCAAAGCGTTTGGAGTCATTAAACCTGGCAATTCTTTTGAATCCTGAGGATTTCTAGCAGGATGTTTTGGGCACATTCCAGCTTGAGTCACCACATTCTTCTACTTAGCTGCATTCAGAAGGACTTTTTTTTTCACACATTGTCTTGAATTATAAAATGGGAGTAAATTCATTCCCGAAGCTGCTGCGTGGCCCTGACAAAGCAAAATGTGAATCTTATTTCCACCGTGAGCTTGCCAGTCTGTTGGATATTCAGTGATTACCTGTACAGTTGATATGATGATGATCTGTAAAATGTCATGTGTGAACGTGCTTGCATCAAATCTCTGCCTTGAAGCAGATAAACCTTAGCTGCATTCAGTGCTAACAGCCATTGGAGATTGATGGCAATATATTTAGTTAGTTGTTTTAACCAAAGCTCTTAAGAGTAGATTTTACATTATCTGTAACAGGAGCTTTTCCTATATGAGGACCAAAAGAATACTTACTTGCAGTAATTTGGTCTCCAGTCAGCTTGAGTTCATCCCTTTAGAGTTCCCTTTAGAGTTCTGGATTGACACTTGCCCATTCTGCTTCAGTAAAATAAAACTACTAAATAGTTGAGTTTTTACTGCATTTCCTGGTGAAAGATATATATGACCATATATAGCCCATATAACCATCACTGTATTATGTAAAAACTGGAAGCTTTAATCAACATCATACATGATCGTTTAACTAATTCGGGCAAAGGTAGACTTGTTCACACATCTCAAGGCATTTCTTAATAACTTCCATGTGCAGAAATGTAAATTTTCCAACAAGTATGAAAACATGAATGAAAACAAGCTTTGGTAGGAATGCATATTAACCAAGTATACGAAATAAGTGATATATGAATCACTTTGAATTATGGTCAAACATATGTTACACAAATGCAGTTGCTATTTCCAACTACACAGTAAACTAAATTTAAATCTGTTTCTTAAGCTTGCACTGTCAACCATGTTATAATGTGCATTTATAGGAATGTTCTCACTCTCTGAAGCATTTGTTCCTTTTTTTTTATCTAGATAGCTTCTATTTCTGAGCTCTAGAGGTATAAGTTGCTTTTTTTGTTTTCCAGTAAACAGCATTGATGATTCTTGTTCTCAACAGTTTTCCTGAATTAAAGTGAACAAGCACAAAGCCATATGAAGGACTAAAGGAACAGCACAACTTCCTCTCTCGTCATGAAAAGCACTGGAAAATTATCACTAATAAAAACTAAAAAATGTTTTCGTCTAGGAGTGGAATCCTCAGAATAAACTTTTTAACTTTTCTATAAGGACCTCAGCACAAGGAAAAGACCTAGTGATTTGTTTTCATCCTTAAGGTTTCTAGGATTATTTCTTCCTATTCTTATAGTCTTGAAGGAAGGATTCCTGTTCCTTGCATGGAATTGCAAAATCATTTTAGAGGTTGCAGGGGGAGCTCTGTCATGTACATCTGCCTTGCAAAGCACTCAGTGCTGGGCTTTTTCACTCCAAGCAATGCTGTCCTGTGCATCACAATCTGCCTCTATGCCTCCTTCTGCAAAATAAGCATGTGCATGAGCAATGGGATTTCTCATAGCACAAGAAAATGATAATAAAATATCCTAATGCAGTCCAGAAGAAATCACCCATGGACTTCTGCATATATTATCGGTTTTATATCTCTTTGTTGTCTAAAAATGTTCGATTGTAATGAAGAGACTGAAGCCATATGCAAATACCAAGAGGTCTTTTATTCATATAGCCCCTGTCAAGGGATGTTAGGAGAAAATGAGAGGAGTGTTTATTGCTGCGGGTGATGGCAGGGAAATGAAAGGAATAGGTTTAAAAAAAGTTAGACCTGGCAAAATTGAAGTGTTTATCAAGAAATCTAGAGTTTGGAAGGGAAAGAAGAAAGAATCTAGAAATGTTCATGGAAAAACAAAAACAACAGTAACAAAAAAAGCATGAAGATTGACAATGTGGACAAGGTTTTGCTACAAAAAGAAGCTGTGATTACAGTGACCCAGTGGTCCTTTTCAGTTTTAATCCTCTTATTATGCAACTTGCATGTAAACAGTTGGTCATGCCAGAAGTTACGCTGGGCATAACTTGCCAAGAGAAGACAAATTTAAGTTTAACTTAAATTTGCGTGTGCTTTAAACACCAGGCATATGCACTGCTGCAGTTACCCATACTCTTCTTTGAGGAGGTTGCTGAATATAACTTGCTGCTTGAGTAAACTGGCAATAAATGCCTGAAATATCAGAAATATTTCCTCTCTAGAGAAGGCTGATGTGGTTTATATGTGAGGCTGCAGAGAGACGAGTATCACCTTTAGCCTATGCCACAGACTCTGAAATAAATCTAGGATCTTCTGATACTTCAGAGATAAATAGGGAAGTTATAAAGAAGACTTTGAAGTGGCTAGGAGGGGTCAATTAAATTTTAAACTTTTCAAATACTAACATTTCAAAATATTTAAGCTTTCAGATCATGCTCTCAGTTTCTCTTGGGAATAAACTGTATAATAGTTTTCATATGGATTGAAGGGGAAAAAAGATTTATGGGGAAAGGCTGTGTGGAATTAACAGTTCCTTTACCCCTCTTTCTCTCTCATTTTCTTGTTTCTAACAATTTTCCAGTTGGTCAAAACTTGACATCTGATACACTTTTGAATGAGTATTTTTTTAACCAAGTGTCAAAAGAAGGCTTTTATCTCTTAGCACTTTTACAGAGAGCCTGTGGAGTTACTACACGTCAAAAAAAAAAAAAAAAAAAGTTGCATTTCTCTGCCTGTAAGTCATGTAACCTGTTACTAATATGTATATAGAAAACAGTAAATAAAACATGCATGAGGCATCCTGGCTGTTGCATGCTTCTTGGCACACGTTTTCTGAAGTTGCAGCTTTTCTCCTGCAAGGAGCCTGCGAAGTGCTTCACTGCAGGGCTTACCTGGCAGAGCCCAGAGAGGAGAATTACATAAAGCCCCCAGAAAATTAGGGGGGTTTTAGTGAAATTGTGGGCGGGCGAGACAAAAAAAAAAAAAAGCCCTAACGCCTTATTGAGCCGATGACTCTCATCCCACACAGCCCCTGAGGCGACCGCGGAGGCGGCGTCTGCGCACGCGCCGCAACGGCCGGCGCGGGGCCGTTCAAACGGCCGGCGCGGGGCCGTTTAACGGCCGCGGCGCATGCGCGGCGGCCCCGTCAGCGCGCAATGGCGGCCGCGGCGGCGCGTAGGTGGTTCTGCTCCCTGGCGCTCGGCGTCTCCTTCCTCAAGTGCCTCCTCATCCCCACGTAGTAAGAGCTTTTCCATCCCTCCGTCCTCGGGGCTGCGCAGCGGCCGGGCGTTGCGGTCCCCTCAGCCGAGATGCGCGCGGTTCTTTTCCCTCCCCTTTTCCTCCGGCTCGCTGTGGAGCTCGTTGCCTGCTCGGCATTGAGAAATCCTCCCTCCTGCCTTGCCTTTCTTGTGAAACCTCCCTGAAAATCTGTTTAGTTATCCCGATTATGTTATGTTTTGGTTTCCTTAATTATATGGCTTTTATAGGCAGGGCACTGCTCAGTGATGCCACCTCCTTGTCCTTTGACCAATATCAGCCTCGTTGTTTGTTATATATTTCCCCCCCCCCCCGCCCCCCCAGATTAAGGAGCTTTTTTCCTGGTGTTGATTTTGGCATCTCTGCTCTGAGAGCTCTGCTCTTGTTTTGTGCTGAGACACACTCGTAGCCTTCCATGTGCAATCCAGGGTCTCCAAATGTACCAAATCATTCACACGTTTTTATTGAAAAGCTTTGATGTTAACCACTTAATCATGCAAATTAAAAAAAAATATTTGTATGAAAGATTTTTTTTTTTTTTCCAAAAGTCAAACCCACCAATTTTGGCATTAATGCCCAGGAAAAGCTGACCTATAAATAATTTTTGTTTTATAGCTTCCAGTGGTTCCTCAGTGCTGTTCAAATAACTTGATCAGAGTTTTTAGATCTGCCTTACAGCAGCTGCTATGTGGGCTTTTTTTTATATATATTTAATGTCTTCCAGTGATGATTTGCTTTGAAGTGTTTCTACTTTAAGTGCATATATGTGACTTCTAATATAAACCTTTTTCAGTCATTCCACAGACTTTGAAGTGCATAGGAATTGGCTTGCCATCACTCACAACTTACCTCTCTCTCAGTGGTACTATGAAGTAAGTTGGGATTTGGGGGGCTGGAAAGGAGAGTTGTTGTTGAACTGTGTGTAAGATACAGATATATTGGACATGTCATCCTGTTTGTATGCTAGAAGGGAAAACCGTTTATTTGCAGAAAGTACATGTCCTGGATATTGATGATGTTGGATACTGATAATTGTTGGCTACTGGTAGCCATATAACGGCGGTGCCAAAACATACAGGTTGTTGGCCCTGTGTAATATTTAGGTTAAAAAACATCTTGGAGCAGCTGCTGGTTCTTGTGCTGGTGAAATGCAAAAGACAATTCAACATCTGGTTAATGGGAAAGACTATGTAATAAAAGAGCTAGTTCTGTGGTAATATTAAATTGCCCCTCTCTTAGCCTTTGTCATGATAAAGGGGCTGGAGTATAAGGAAAGGCTGAGAGAGCTTGAACTGTTTAGCCTGAAAAAGAGAAGGTAGCTGAAATAAAATACATTGACTCACTGGCTATGATAAACTGTGTATTATGGTGTTTAAATGACATGTCTTTTTGAAAATTCTGAATTTCTTGATCTACTTTTATTCTTAGGCTACTTCAGAATGGACGTTGGATTATCCACCATTTTTTGCTTGGTTTGAATATGTACTTTCGCACATTGCCAAGTATTTTGACCCACAAATGTTGGTTATCCAAAATCTAAATTATTCCAGCCATGCAACCATCTTCTTCCAAAGATTTTCAGTCATCTTTACAGATATCCTTTTTATATATGCAGTTCGTGAGTAAGTCTTAATGTTCTAATTTTAGGGAGAGCGGGTATCTTTTTAAAATCTTGACTTTCTAGAACAGCAACAAGAAATTATTCTAAGCTGATTTGCACAAATGAGCTAGTAAATAGGTGGAAAATAAAAATTGTTTTAACCCATTCCAAGAAATTTGGAGTGTGAGCTAAATGCAAGTTGCTACTTTTGTTATTTCTGAACATTGCTCTCACTGTACATCTGATTGGATTTGTATACATTCAGAGTTTAGTTGTCTTTCACACATTATAGATATACTGTTTTTCTTGTTGGATTGACTTGGTAGGATTAAAGGCCAGGTTGCGTGAACCCAGCTATTTTTTCATGTTATTTCTCTTATTACTGTAGTCTTCCAGATTAGGACTATGAAGGAAACTTGTGATAAAATGTCCATATGATCAAATGTGCAAAGTGAATCGAGTGTTTTGAATATTCTTGCTAATGATCTAGCTATTACAGGCCAAATTGCTAGTACTGGGAGGGAGTGAAGTGGGGGGTTTTGTGTGTATTTTGTTTTTATTTTGTTTTTTATGCCCTGGTTAGTTAAAGGAAATACTCATTTTATACCCGTGGAGGAAGTTGTCATGGGAATTGCTGTCTTGCCCACCATAATGATTTGGCTCTAACAGTCTTCCTACCCAATTTTGAATAGAGGGAGTAAAATGGGCAAAGTTATGTGTTCTTGCATTACAGCATGTAAATTCCTTTATTTACTTTATGTATCTGAGGTAGGCAAGCTTTAATTTCTGTCTTTTGTTTATTTGTTTTTTCTTTTTGTTCTGGCTCAGATATGTGTGAATGAGTTAGTTCTTTTAAAATAGTCCTATTTACACTGTTAGTGCAAGTCACTCCTGAATTTTTAATCTAATCTAACTTCACCTTTAGCGTAATACAGGCTATCTGGCTTTGCACTCAGAAGTAATAAGATATTTTAAAACAAAATATAACTTACAGCCTTGGTGTGGGTCAAAATAGATTAATGGCCACCTGATGACTTTAAATGTAATTTGGTATATTGTCTCTAGATACAGCTATACTTTGCTCATGCATGAGCAATTCATAATAAACAGACTATAATGATTTTTGTTCTTCAAACTAAGACATAATCCTGAGATTTATTATTATTAATCCTACTTAAGATAAGCTTTAACATGTGGAAAATACTACAGTTACTTAACTTCAAAATTCTTTTACTCACTAAACTTTATTCATATCACTCTCTTGGTGAACTTAGAAATAGTTTTATTTTTGCATTTTGTGCTAGTAAAGTAGATATCTTCAGGCTAAATGCACTTCCCAATTATTAAATGAGCAACTTATATTTTTATTAGCTTTTTCAACTAATCTTTCATACTACTCTTGTTCAGGTGCTGCAGATGTGTGAATGGGAAACGAGCTGGAAAGGATATTATGGAAAAACCAACTTTTATTCTTGCTGCTCTGCTTTTGTGGAATTTTGGGTTGTTAATTGTGGATCGTATCCTTTCAAAACACAGTATATTGTTGTCTTTTTTTTTTTTTTAATTTGTTACAGCATTTGGGTACAAACCCATAAGCATTATTTGTATCACGGAGAATAAAGTTAGTGGCTCTGTTCATGGAGCTAGCTGAAAAACTTAGTGTTTTTAATAGAATTATTATTTGGCAAGATAAAGATTTGAACATTTTCTGTCTGATTTGTCTGAACTCAGGGAGGAGCAGTTTGGCTTCCACTTCTTGCTGGCTGCTCCTTCTCTACTGTCCTTCAGAAATATTTGGGTTGAGCCTCTTTCCTGGGCGTGGTTCTAGGTCTATTCCATGGCAGGCAAAATCTTAGAACTGATACTGAATTGATTTATTCTGCATGAGAATTACTTACTTAAGAGGATATTAGAATAGCTCGGGGAAGTTTAATGTCAGTCTCGATAGGCATATATCTAGCTAAAGAAGGAACGCAGGAGAAAATGACAATTGTTTTATAGTTTGGGGCACTGGCCTCTGCAATCCACATCTGAATTGCCTGCTGTCAGATTGCAAGCAGCAAATAAAGTTATCTCAAACCATTAATACAATACCAGACAGATACCAATACTTAAGAATTTAAAAACTGGAAGAATTTCATTCATGAGAGTATTCTAGGAAGCTATCATAGTAATCTTTTATTTGTTATAATTTTTTGTCATGTGAGTTGCAAGGAGTGCTTGTGCCTAGAATTTTATTAAGAGTTGCTGTATTTCATTACAATTATATACTAGTATTAGCAAAACTTGGTCTGTACTTGCAAGTGAGATTGATTAATGATTTTCATGTCCACATTGACTAAATTTAAGCTCAAATTTCCATTTTAATATGAGTTTGACTATACATTTGAGTCTTTCCAGGCTGACAATAGCAGACAGACCTTTATTCCTTTCTTGACTCGAGTTCAGATATTCACTTCCAATACAATGGCTTTCTGTTTGGGCTGATGCTTCTTTCCATTGCCCGACTATGTCAAGTAAGCTTGAGTAGCTCTGTTGTGGTTATGTCATATATGTTTTGGTTCATTAATTCACTCTTCTGGTCATATGTGTTTTGATTCATTAATTCCCTTCATTGTGTCACTCATGTTGAACTTACTGGGAGCAGCGCAAAATTGAGGTGTGTTAAAGTGAATATTTACTTATTTGTTAAGTTTGGAGGGAAGAAGAGATGTTGAAACTCATCATGAATGCTTGCTTATCAATGGTGAGATATTCCTGTTCCCTGCAAGAAAGCTAAATTTGTGTATTACACCTAGATAAGGAGGCATGCTTCTTGCCATGTTATCATCTTATAAGAGACTGCTCCTTAGAAGACACATCTCCAAGCTATAAGACCTCCCAATTCCCAAATATCATATGTATATATAGCTTCCTTCTGTATACCTGCTGCATGACAGGATTTACTCTGCAATTTTGGCTCATTTAATGAAAATACTCATTTAGCTTTATGCTATGATGAATGTTCTGTTACCTAAAGAGGGCAGTAGAAGTGCCATTAAAAGCTTGTACAAGGAGAAAAGTTGAAAAGTTTGGGATTTGTTTTATTTCTTCATTTAGAAACGATACTTGGAGGGTGCTGCCCTTTTTGCTGTTCTTCTGCATTTCAAACACATCTATGTGTATGTGGCACCAGCATATGGCATTTATTTGTTGAGATCCTATTGTTTTACTGCAAATAATACAGGTAAAGATATAAATGTTTCTTCACTCACTTTGCGAGGGCTGAACATGTTAATGGGGTTTAGAGAAGAATGAAGCAGAAAAGAAACTTGAAATTATCTTTGTAACAAGATGACTGCTAAGTCAAATGAATCAATTTCTGCTTGGGAAGCAGTATGGGAAAGATCTGTTCTTGTTCCTATAGAATTCCTGTTTCTTGAGTTCTTTTGTAAGTAAAGCCAGCATGAACTAGCTGTAGATGGCGGTTTGAAGCCATAGGAAGTATTCTGAGTAGACATGGAATGATTAGATACCCTCAGAGGTTATTCCAAAGTCTTCCTTTGAGTTTCTCTTCTTTTTTAGCACTGGGAAATGTTTGATATTCCTCACATGAATAGAGAAGTCTCTGAAATGGCTCTTGAAAGAGAAGATGGATAAAGGTTGAAAAATGAAGGAGCTGCAGTGTGAAATAAGTAAAAGGGCATAGGTTAATGAAGAGCACAAATAAAAGAAATAAAACCCATTTTTAAAGCAGTTTTCCAATATGAAAAATAGGAATAGTTGCAAGCAAATAGAAGTATAGTGCTGAAGGGGTAGGTCTGGGCAGATGACAAGAGCTGGTCTTAAGAAAATACATAAGGCTCAGAAAGAGTCCTACTCAGAGTCCTACAGTCCTACTAAATTAGAGGTCATACTAATCTCATGCTAATGGTATTTTCCTATAATTTGATAGCTATTTTTTTTCCTGTTCAGTAGGATCTTAAGTAATCTGTAACTTATTAATGAGGAAAAGTAACCCCACATTCAAGGCAACACATATGTAGCACATGGTTAGCACAGTATGTCTGTGGTTTCAGGCCTCTCTGTCTCTCGTACAATGTATCCTTGATGTGCAGTAATTCATGCCATAGCCACCTACTTACAGCTCCACGAGAAATTGAAGCTTGATTGTGATTTAGTTCTGTATAAGCAATACATTTCATCCAGAGCTGTATTCTAATTTGCTGGCACCCAAGTACCTTAGTGTACTAGTATATGAAACAGATGTAACTAACTGTTGAAGTAAGCAATTGAGTATGTTTGATATAAACGGCTTGATGTATTCGTATAAAGGTTGTATGCGTGCTAGCAATTCACTGTTAGGGTGGAATCTTTTGTCCCCCTCCCTGCTTGCCCTGCTATCTCTATCCATAATCGTTTTGTTTCTTGTAGATGGATCCCTGAAGTGGAGAAGTTTCAGCTTTCTTCACGTAACTCTCTTGGGACTGATTGTCTGTCTTGTTTCTGCACTATCATTGGGCCCTTTTATAGTATTGGTAAAGATTCCTTTTTCATCTTGTATTCCCTCAACATTTTAGAAAATGTGACAAAAATATAAACCAAGTCTTATCTAAAAAAGCTTTTTATTTCTTTTTTTTGTTTGTTTGTTTTTTGGTTTTCCTCTTTAGGGCCAACTGCCTCAGGTCATTTCACGGCTTTTTCCTTTCAAGCGAGGCCTCTGCCATGCTTACTGGGCCCCCAACTTCTGGGCTTTGTACAATGCCATGGATAAAGCATTAACAATCGTTGGTACAGTATGCTAGTCTTAGTATTTGACACTTATTTACAGATATAAATCTCTGGATTTTAGTCTTCCCTTCTTTGAAATCCAGATAGCAAGTTAAATTTTCAGATCACATTAAATATCTTAATATTTAACATATAATACAGTGCATGCTAACATTTTCCAGTTATTAGGTCAGAAATCAATCTTCTCTTTCATCTTTTAAAAAAGAAAAAGCTCAGCTATATACTTAGTTGAGGTCTATTACAGGTACTACATCTTCTTTATTTTCTTCGTTTATCAGCTTGTACTTTTTTATCATTTGTTTCCAGGTTTAAAGTATAACTTTCTTGACCCCACAAAAATACCTAAAGCCTCAATGACAGGAGGATTGGTTCAAGAATTCCAGCATACTGTCCTCCCTTCTGTGACTCCACTGACAACATTAATCTGTACTTTGGTATCAATATTGGTAAGAACAAATAATGTTTTTGTAAACTTCACGTGTCCTGTCCTCACTGACTTTTGTTTGATTAGCATACATTCCACATGAGATCTTATTTCCTTTAAGATGTCTTTTTGACCTGGAATAATGTGATTAAGATAAATCTTGAGGTTTTTATATATTTTTTTAATTTATTTTAATGCATGATATTTTTCCAAATATGACCCAAAAGTCATAGCCTATATCAGCTCTAGAGCAGGACAGAAGTTAATTAAAACAATCATCAGTCAAAACCATTCTGCTTACTGAGCTACAGTTAGTCTTTTGTGATAGCAGATAGTTGAATGAGTCTCACTCAAGAGCTGAATAGAGATATTGATGGAATTATTTGAGAAGTTTGTGCTCCTGATAGTAGGAGCTACAGGTGAGCACAGTGTTTTCTGTACGAAAAGCAAGGAATTGAAGGCTCAGGAAGTAATTAACTGGATACCAAGTATTTTTTTTATTCTAATGAGTGATTGTATTAGCCTTTGACTGGAAATATCTTTGTTTCAGCACCCTCAGGTAGTAACTTTTATGAAATAAGTTTGCTAAGTTAGATTCAGATATGTTTATTACAAGCCCATCCTGGGTGCAGTTGTGTTCATTAATGTAAAAGCTCTTGTGGCCATTGGCTTGTGTTCGGGGTTGTTAAGCTTTTCACTGAAGTCTTGTTTTTGCCTGTTGTTTCTAGCCCTCTGTTTTCTGTCTTTGGTTTAAACCTCAAGGGCCCAGAGGCTTTCTTCAGTGCGTTGTTCTCTGTGCATTGAGCACCTTCATGTTTGGCTGGCACGTGCATGAAAAAGCAATACTGCTTGCTATTCTGCCTTTAAGGTAAGTGAGCTCTAGAAGTTGTATTTCACCAGCTGAACCTTTAGCCACTTGTTGGAGAATCCTCAGAAGAGGATCGCTTTAGTTTTAAGTACATTTCAGATAATTAACATGTTTACAGGCAGAAAAGTTTTTCATGTGCTTCTGGCAGAACTAATTTCAAACAATCAAACACAGTCTTCTTAGAAACAGAACATCACAACATTCGCACAATTGTATATGTAGGAAACTAGTGTGATGTTAAACAGTATTTTCTGTACCTTAAATGTATCCACAACAGAATGAATGGAAGAATGAACATAAAAGTGCATGATCTTAAGATTATTAAGCAATTAATTGAAAAGTGTGATGGATAAGACTACTCACTATGTACTCTCTCCTTTCGTCATTTTAAAATTAGGTTATTTCAATATGCATACAATAACAAGAAATCAATATGCTTGAATTCGGGTGCTTGATTGCCATTAGGATAACACAGAAAACCTTCAAACTGAGCACATAGAAGACAGGGATTAAGACTTGAGGTTGTATGTGGTCACACAGTCCGTAAAACAATTAATTCAGGACCCCATTGTAGCCTCCCTTCCATAGTGATCATTTGGGAGCAGGGTTGATAAAATGTTTTGCTGATGTCATGGTGGTGGAAAACAGGCTGCTTTCTCGAGGTCATTTTCTTCTTCCCCTGCAACTGGTTTATTTGTGCAGTCAGTCCACTGCACCAGAAACATCAAGACCTTTATATTATACGTCTGGTAGTCTTGCCCTTTCAAGAGAAAAAATAATGGTTTGTCTGGCTTCACCAGTTGGGCATTACTGCCATGTTCAAGTTTGGCAATCCAAATCTAAACTTGGTGAATGAAAATCCTGTCCCAGCATCTCTTTTGATGAAACTTATTCATTAATGCAGATGCAAAAGAGTATTTCTTGAGTGTCCTACTATGAAACTTCCTTGGCACAGCTATTTTGTAGAACTAGTAATGTAAGTGAGAGGGAAGAATGGTGCTGGGACATTTGCCCGTGCCAAGAAGACACTGTAATGACTATGAAACTGCAGTGAAACCACCAATACCTGCTGTATTGTCACTGCTTTAGGCATGGCTGCTCATGCTTCTGATATCCTGATATTCAATGGAATTAGAGTTTTCTGTGTTTGGTTTTCCTGGCTGTCACTCTGCTGAATTTTAACACTGAGGCCATCTGGCTTGGAAGAAGGAGATTCCATCACAGCGTCCAATATTTGGAGAATCTGGGGCTCCATCTGATCTCCATTTGACCTGTTCTTCAGTCTGTGTTTTGTGTACTATGTAGCTGAAAACCATTTATTTTCTAAGACAAGCATAACACAAGTTCTTGTCATTTTAGTTTGTTGTCTGTTCAGAGACCAAAGGATGCTGGTATCTATTTGATTCTGACAACTACGGGTCATTTTTCACTTTTTCCATTGCTGTTCACGTTACCAGGTAAAATGTTTTCTTTCATTCTATGCCTTTTTTTTTTTTTTTCCCTTACCAGAGATGAGCTGTGTTTGAGGTTATTCTGTGTAGAACATTGACAGTTGCAAGAGTCTGTAGGTCAGCATGTTTCCCTAAATCCAAACTTGCCAACTGGTGAAAGGAAACATTGTTTAAAAGCATCCATTTCAAGGTAGATGAGAGCAGTCAGGATAGAACAGATCTGTCCCTGTGACAAAAATCTTCTCTTTTCCCCAAGCTTTTCATTTCTAATTAAAGGTCCATTTGCTTGAATTAGCCCTTAGATCATCATAGCTACGACAATGCTGCTCTGTGTAATGATTGTCATCCTTTTGATACTCTCCAAATCTAGACGTGCTCTGTTTGGGCTGATGCTGATTTGCAATAGAGGAGCTGCAGCCCTAAGGGATGAGCAGCTTCCTTTGCATTCTCTAGTATCTCACTTCTATGGAGCCTGCAAAGTAGAGCTAGATATTTTTGGTTTGACTTTTGCTTTAAGCTTCTCTGTAATATTTTGATCTTTTTGCATATGAAAAATCTTACTTTCAGTACCTTTTGTGTATTGTAATTGTAATCAGTGAGGTCAATATGCTTATAGATTCTTCAGCTTCCTGTATTTCAATGCTTGGTATGTTATTGAATAAGTGTATTAGATACTATGTAGGACACCTAAAATAAATAAGACTTTTTGTTCTGTTTAGATAAAATAATTATTAAATAATGTGAGTTTGATTTGTGTAAATTTTTTTCTAATGTTCTTTGTATTTCAGAACTTCCAATTAAAATACTGCTGATGCTGCTGTTTACTGTTTATAGCTTCTCTTCACTGAAATCTCTATTCAGGTAATTAAACAGACTGTTCCTGAAGGCGAGAATCAAACTATTTCTGTCACCGGGAACGGTGTGTTGCCATCAGGGTTGAATGGGTTGGGAAAAGGATGTTGTCATAGTGAAATATTGCTCATCAACATGTGATGACAGTTCTGTCCTTGTCTCAGGAGATGAGACTTAGGACATGACTGTTATTAAACATCTTCATTGTATTAGAACTGGAGCTCCTATCCTGTAGTCACAGGGGACAGTAAATTCACATCATTCACTGATGCACTGATTCACTTGTGCACTGTTAAAGCACAAAGTTTTAGCCTGTGCATTTTTAAATCGATATTAGAACATCTATTAAACTGAATTCTCTGGTGATTCTTTATGTATGCTGGAATTTATAAATGCTATTGCGTTTTGCAATAACGCTTTTAGTTTTTATGTGTGAAGTGGCAGGCTGCAAATAACATGTTCTGACAAAGAGCTATAATTTGATCACCAAATGCTTACAGAAGACTCCCTGTAAACTCTCTGCAGTCAAAATTATTGCATGTTCTTTACAAGAAGTATTGATGCATAAATCTAGTGAAATTTGGTTGAGGGGAAAATTTTCAAGTTGTCACCAGTGATAATTGGAAAAATTGAATGATTTTTACTAAACATATTTTAACTCTTCTTCCTCTATCAGGAGAGAGAAGTCTCTACTGAACTGGCTGGAAACAATCTACCTCTTTCAACTAGTGCCTTTGGAAATCTTCTGTGAAATTATATTCCCTCTGACCCCCTGGAAACTCACCCTTCCTTTTGTTCCCTTGTTGTTGACCTCTGTATACTGCGCTCTGGGCATCACCTATGCTTGGCTGAAACTCTACATCTCTGTCCTGACTGAACCCATTTCTATCAGACATAAGGCAGAGTAAAACAGTGGTATTGGGACCCACCAGGTTTTTCCACAGAGAGGAAGATTCAGCGCTGAGGAGCTGTGGTGAGGAAGGGAGGGAACCTGTCCATGAGGCAGGAGCACAAGCACCTTTCACCCAGAGAGTGGAGGGTTTCTCTTCCCCACAACCCCTGTGCTGTCCAACTAGAATACCTCTTAGCTCATGACAATAATGTGTAGCTTAGTGAGATACCAGAAATAAACTGTGAAACTTGATGAAAAGGACCTTGTCTTCATATTGGCCATTTAAAAAGTCTGGGCTTCTGTCCTGAAGAAAAGCGCCCCGGCTTTCTCCATGTCGTTGTATTTTAGTGAAAGCTACTATGACAAATTACAAGGGATTATTGCTGTGTAGAAGAGAGCATAATAACTGCCTACTGTGGAATATGTAAATAAAAGACTTTTTTTTTTCAATGATATCTTTATTTTGAGCATCTTTTACATTTTTTTTCAGCTTAGGCAAGAACCCTGCTGTGCCATTAGGATAGAGCAGTGACTACCTGAAGCCCTCTTGAGGCTTTAAATTGTTTTCTTAACACATCTGTTCCTCTGATCTTTCTATTTTGGGGTCTGTTCAAGGAAGTTTTGCTATACTTCCCTATGTTTTCTTTTTGGAGACAAGGCTGCTACATTGGGGAATTATTCTAAGGATAATGTGGCTGGGAAACCTTTCGGCTCTTCCCAACAGCCCCAGTGTCCATGTATGTGTTTCTCCAGCACCTTACCCTGAAGGTAATTGGATATTACACAATGAAAAGTGTGGAATATATAGGTATATATTCACGTATATATAGGAGGGATATATAGCTAAGTGCTCTCATTCATATATATATATATATATAGCTAAATATGTATAGGAATATATAGTTAAGCCTGTGCGGCATTATGAGCAGAGTTCTTCTCTAAATCTATAAAAGTGATAGTTACCCACAAGTTAGGACTCGTTTCCTTTTAAACTCTGTGTAACTGACCCTAAACTTTCTGCTCTAGTAAGTGAAGTCCCTGCAGGAGCCTGGAGCCTATAGAGAGAAAGGGGGAAGATATTTTCTTTATTTTTCTAGCAAATCGTTCTTGATTTTTTTCCTCCCATGTGTGTTGAGTTTAGGGGGATAGTTGAGTCCTACAAGGGTGCTTCCTTGTAGCCTTGAGCAAGGGCGCTGCTCCAGGCGCCGTCACGAGGCGGGCTGCGCAGCGCTGCGCTCCCCGCTCCCCCGGCCGCTCCGCCCGTTCTGCCCCTTGCCGGGAGCCGCCGGCCGCGGGGGCGCTG